GGGAGCCTGGGCAGTGGGAACTTTCTGGCCTACTGCTCGCTCTTGGGACCCATGGCGTTCAAAGATGTTTACCTCACCGACTCGTGTGCAAGGGGGAGCCTTGGCGTCAAAGCTGCGTCCGTCATCGGGCCGTCTGGGGAAGGGTCCTCTGGGTCCTCTGGGGGCTCTTTTCGGTGTCTTGGGGCTCTCTTGGGCCATTCTAGGGACCTCTTCGGCCGTCTCGGGCGGCCTGGCCCGTCTTGGGCCCTCTTGGGGCTCTCTTCGGCCTTCTTGAGGGCCTCCGCCTGCACTCTTGGGACTCTCCTCTAGGGCCCCTCTTAACTCGTCTTCAGCTCTCGGTGGCCGTCCTGGGGCCCTCTTGGGCCGTCTCGTGGCTCTCCTGGGAGCCTCGGGGACAGCCGCGGGGGCATCCCGAGCCGCCCTCCGCCGATCCGGGCCCGAGGCCCCCTCGGGGCTCTCTTGGGCCTTCTTGGGGGCCTCGTGCGGCACTCTGGGGCTTTCCCGGGAGCCTCTTCGGGCCCTCTGTCTCTGGCTGCCCTGGGGGCCCTCTTGGGCCGTCTTGGGGCCCTCTTGGGAGCCTCCTCGGCCGTCTTGCGGCGGCCGCGGGGGCCCTCGGACCCGTCGTCGGACGTTCTGGGCAGGAAGAGGCGAGCACCAACAACAGCAATAGAGCATTCGTGGAACATCAATGTTTTTCGCCTCCTCGGGCCGTCTAGGGGTCCTCTGGGGAGGCTCTTGGGCCGTCTCGGGAGCTTCTTGGGTCGCCTTCGGGGAGCTTGGGCCGTCTTCGGGTCCTCTCGCAGACCTCTTTGGCCCTCGTGGCGGCCTCTCATGGCCCTCAGGGCGCGAACTTGGGACCACCGGGGGCCCCTCTTGGGGGCCTCTTGGGCCCACACGCGCGCACTCAGACGAGATCTCGCGTTCCCGGTGGGGGGCTGCCGTCTGCGCAACCGTCGACACGTTCGTGGGCCCCCTGGAGGTCCAGCAGAGCTACGCACTACGCGCATCCCGACGAGACCCCACGCTCCCTGGGGACACTGCCAACTGCGCAGCCGCCGCCACTTTCGAGGGCTGCGCGCTTCGCGGTGTAATTCCATCCTAGGCTTGCGCCGCACCGCCGGCCCCTTGGGAGCCCAGAGTGTTGTGATGTTCCAACCTGCTTTAGCCGTGGCCACCAGACAGACTCTCGAGCACCAAGAAGCACCGAGAGCGGAGGGCCTTCGCGCGTCGGTCCCTGGGAGGCGATGCTCGTTCGACACTGCTCCGATCGTGTTCTGGGTGCTCGAGATCAGCTCTGTGATGTGGCCCGGAAGTGCGATGGGAGCAGCATACAACCGGAGGGTCTCTGTTCCGGGGGGCGTTGTCGTCGAAGCGCCTGGGCGCCGGGCGTCCGCCCGGGAAGCCCCCGCCGCCACGCTCAGGAGGGGCCGTGCTGGATCCTCTGGGGGCCCTCTTGGGGGCACTCTGGCTGGGGGCCTCTTGCTGGGGGCCTCTTCCGGGCCTCTTCGGGCTCTCCTGGGGGCGTGTTCGGGCCTCTGGGGGCCGTCGGGGATCTCCGGGCCCTGCTGTGCTCCCCCACCCTTGGCTCCTCCTGGGGCCAGCCCTCATCTGGGGGGTCTGTCGGACTCGCTTGAGTCCTTCTGGACCATCTTGTGGCTGTTGGGGCCGTTTTGGAGCCTTCTTTGGCCGTCTTGGGGTGATCTCGGGGGTCTCTTGCATGCTCCTGGAGGAGGGCTGGGAAGAGGCAACTATCTCACGCGCCGCGGAAACCCAAAGTGATCGGCGAATCGCGTCTCCCGTCCAGTATTCATTTGTGTTTAGGGTACTCGTGGTTGCTGCCATGTGTTGCGAAAAGGATTGGTACGGTTCCCAGATAATTGGCCTCTCGAGGGGCTCCAAGAGAGCGTCTTGAGGGTGTCGGAGTGCCTCTTAAACGCTTCTTGGGATATATTCTGCGCATTTGTAGAGATGTTGGCTGCCTGTTGAGGCAATCTTGGCTATTGGTGGCTTTGGCGGCCGTCCTCAGCCGTCTTCGAAGCCTTGGAGGGCCATGGAGAGCGACAGAGAAGCGTTGGGGCGCCGAGGGGGGCCTCGGGAGGGTGGGACGCGCCCTTGAGCGTGACGACAGAAGCCCTACCAAGCAGCATCCGATATATGCTCCGCGTGCGGATCATGTATTAAGCATGCAGGGACTTCGTGTTAGAAACAACGAGGAGTTCATGCATAAATCTATTCATCAATTAGGCTGTTTTTTTAAATCCATATTTTTTAAATCCCATGTGTTAAACACTGCCCTGGACCACGCGTCAGTGTGCCATAGGGGGCAGTGTTGCGCACAGTGGGGCCTTCTTGGGCCGTGTCGGGGGCCTCTCGGAGCCCTCTTGGGGGGGGGAGGCGTCTTGAGGTCTGCTAGGATCCGTCCTGGTTCGTCTTGGCGCGGCTATCCTGGTCCTCTCCCAGAGGCCCCGTCGCGGAGCACTTTTGGGGCCGTCTTGGCCATGATGGGAGCGTCTGGGGCACCTCCTCATCATCCCCAAGGTCACCACTATGTAGCCGGGCACATGGGAAAACGGGATGCATGGGACATCTTTGCGTATTGGTTCGGGGGTTGCTTTTCGCTTTTCGGCTGGCCAGGGTCCTCTGTTCAGCTTCTCGTGACCTTCTCGGGGCCCTGTGGGTCGTCCTGGAGGCATCTTGGCCCGTCTTGGAGGTCTCGTGCGCGGCCTTGGTAAGTAGGACATCCTGGGGGCTGCCAGGGCCGTTGTGGACGAGCCCTGAGGAGCCGGGGGCCCTCGTGCACTCCCCAGGCCCTCCCACGCATCTCCCGAGTGCCAGTGCTCTCTTAGAGCGAGGACAAGAGCCCCCTGGGAGGGGTTGTGGGAGGGGCAGAAGCCTGCCACGTTGCTGCCCAAAAGGGTCGTTGGATTGTCGTCAGAGGCGGTCCACACATCAACATCTTCGCACCGACGGGGGCAACAATGGAGTCCGTCCTCTTCCGTCTGTGGGTTCACAGGAGACAGGCCTCGTGGTTGAGACCTTCGAAGTCGACACTCTGGCATGGGCTCGAAGATGCGGGCGACGGGTTTCGATGCGGTAATCCCTTGAAGCTGACGTCTCGCTTGTCAGAGTACGCTGATTACGGAAGCAACCAGTCTGATACGACACCCCAGGTGAACTTGGAGCACTTGACACGCTACGTAGGTAATTCGAAGCAGGTCTCGATGACGCGGCTCCACTGCGTCAAGGAGTTGTTTGGGACGTTCGTGAACAGGATGCAAGCGTACGACTTCCAGGCAGACGTTGGGCTCGTATTATTCAGTACGTCTGCGAGCATGGTGTGCAAGCCGACCCTGATCACCGAGAACTTCCGTGACCGGGTAAACCAGGCCGAGGCATCAGGGCACACTGCGCTCTACGACGCGGTTGACCTCGCAGCCAGCGCGCTGGAAGAGTGGCGTGCCGCGTGGCGAGCTGTGCCGGGCCGGGCGGGCAACCCGGCGCTGCGAGTCATCGTCCTCTCGGACGGCCAGGACACGAAGTCGAGGACCGTGCCGTGGAAGCTAGCGCGCCGGCTGCAGCAGGCGGACATCCTCCTCGACGCGGTGCATGTGGGGAGCAACGACATGGACGACAGCCTCCACGCGATCGCGAAGAGCACAGGTCGACTACACGTGAAAGTGCCCCTTCGCCGGAGTGACCTTTGGTGCGGGCCCATCGTGGTCCCCCGATCGCCGAACGCGATGCGATAGTAGCGTCTTGCGCACTTGTGTTTGGTCCCCCGCGGCCCCCACAGAAGCCGCGCACCAGAGGTCACATTTACCCAGGGCCACTCCCGCGTGTCGCCGAACAGGGGGCTACGTTTTCAAGCCGGCATCCGTGCAAGAGGCTCTCCGCCTGCACGAGCTCGAAGTGGTGCTCCACTCGCCAGAACGCCCACCGCTCGCGCGACGGCCGCCGCCCATCACCAGGGCGGTGGATCTCAGGAAGTTCTTCGCCGCCAGGTACCCCGCCGACAGGGCCGACGAGTCGGCGGTGCCCGCGCGGCGGCAGCCCGCGCAGCTCGAGGCCCCCTTCGTCTCTCTGGAGTCGGCCGTGCGCCTCTTGGCGGCCGCCGGCGCGGGGGCGGACGCAGCCGGGCAGGCGCCAGAGCAGCCGCGCCAGGGGGTCAGGGCCGGCCCAAAGCGCAGGGGCGGCGGGGAGTCGACCTCCCCCCGCCTTCTCCACTCCCCGCCCTTCCACTCGCATCCTCCTCCCCACCCCCACCACCGCGGGAGGCGATCCTCGCTGTCTTCCGCCGTTGTCGCACCCCCAGGGGGCTGCTCGTCAGCGCCGCCTCCTGCGCGAGATGCGCGCGCTGATGCGCGCGCCCCACCCGAACTTCGACGTGTACCCGTGCGAGACGGACCTCGGCTTCTGGCGGCTTGTCCTCGCCATGGACCAGGGGGCCGACGTCTTCACGCCCTACGCGGGCGGCTGCTGGCTGATGTACGTGAGCTTCCCCGAGGATCTACACGAGGCATCTATTCACCACCGTGCCTGGCCAGGGCCATCCTAGGCCCTGCGGTGGCGTGTGGACCCTCCCGGCCTTCGGCCCGAAGAGCGTCTGCGCCGTGCCAGGGCCCAGGATGGCTCGGGCCAGGCATGGCTGCGGTGGTGTAAAGATGCCCTCTGCGCACCAGGAGTACCCGGAGCGCCCGCCAGAGGTCCGCTTCGTCACGCCGATCTGCCACACCAACACCAATGCTCACGGGAAAATTTGTCACAGTATCCTGGGTCGGAATTACACGACGGACACGCCAGTGTCTTCCATCCTCGGCTCTGTTTACGCGCTGGTGCTCACGCCAGACACCGAGGACGCGGTCGACACGGCGCTCGCTTTCCAGTCACACGAGGACCCGGACGGCTACCGCCGCAAAATTGCGGAGCACGTCCAGCAGAACGCAACTGCTCGTAGCCGCGCCGAGTGGCGTTGCCAGCTTGAAGATAGCAGGAATACTTAG